AATCCTGTGCTTGACCTTCGGTTTTTTCTGCTTGGCTACTGCATGAGATGAGGACTTGTTGGCAAGCTACCAAAGAGACTGGCTCTCTCACTTACTTTTAAATTGTGTACTAATTGACCTCAGCTTTTCATTATTCACCTGTAGGGCATCAATCCAAGTCAGTAATAGCCATTCAAGTCTATTGTCCTTGTGTTTATCATCCACCCTTCCTGCCATATTTATGACACCTGAGTCATCCAGCAGTCATTGCATTCCCTTGTACCGGTGTGCCATTTCATCTAAAGTTTAATAATTGGACAGCTTTCTTGTGCCTGGGGCGGCCTATGCGCCATCTGTCCACCAGGGATGGGGCCTCATAACCAGCCAGACAGCGAGTGACTCAATCTCAAAATGCTGTCTTACCACCTACGTTCTTGGGCCACAGATACCCACTGTTTGATACCCAGCCAGTTCGAGGCTGAGATGGAGTTAGGTGTACAAAAGCTGTATGATGAAGTTACACCTCTGAAAGGAAAAGGGTAAAGCAGGATTGAGCAGGGGGGCTGTCAAATTGCGGTACAGATCTGACAAAGTCTCTGCCAGCACACCCAGGGGTCCAGAGCAAAGACTGTTAGAGGGGTTCCAAGAAGGACAGAAATGGCTAGGTTTTGCTAGAAGTTGCCAGGAAAAAAGCATGCTGTCAGCTGCCACTGCCTTGCTCAGTCACAGGCTGAGGATAGTGTATCCTTCCTTATCTTGAAATCAGAGGTGGACCCTAAAGCAGGTGACAACTGGACACTCTCAGCTAACCATACCCCTCACAGCAGGGCCACAGTAACAAATAAGTATCAGAAACAATGGATGACAACTTCCCATCTGTACCCTCACTTCTAAACCAGGCTTCTAAATCACGCTAATCAGCAGCAGCCTTGCTCTGGTAACTGCACCTCCACAACTAAAGCCCGATCAATCCCTGAATGCTTTAAAGCCCGTTAATCCTTGAACTCTATGCTTCCTAAAACTCTGTATGAGGTCAGCAGTTTTCTTTGTCTACAGACTGTGCCCTACAAGCATGGTTCTCCTGCTCAACAAGCAGTATGTGCAGCTTTTTGTTCTGGGTACCGAACGTGGCCTCTTCCTGTGACGCTGTCACCTCTGCCTGAGATGCTCCCCCCACCTCTCACCTCACTGGCTCCTTCTCATCATCCAAGTCTCAAGTGTTCTTTGGAGAGGCCTTTCCTGACCATCCAATGGGACGTCCACTACACCCTACGTAACCATACTATCCCACTGCCCTCATTCATTTCTTGATAGCACTCGCCAATTTCAAATAATCATATCTGCTTTGAACTCCCTCACTTGCTAGAATGTAAACTCCATGAGGACAAGCGTTGTCTGTCGTGTTCACTGCTGTAGTTTCAGCCAGAAGGTGGACTGAAGAATAAAAGATGTCGCTGGAGTTGTGAGTACGAAGTTCCTGCAGAGGGGCCTGAGGAGAATTTTTGCTGATCACTGTATCCCAGCACCTAGTGAAGTGTCTGGAACACAGCAGGTACTCCATCATGTCGTAAAGAACGGATGAAAATACATGAAATTCCAGTGAAATGTTCAGGGGAAAACAAGATTGGGGGGGTTAATCAATGACTACAAGGAATAAATAAATGCACAAAGTTTAAATTGATTTTTTTCAAACTTTATAAAACATACAATCTCATGAAAAACTGACATGCACGTGAACACATGTGATGGCTCTGTGGGAAGCACAGTGCCGGGTGGGAGCTGCCCCCTGAATTCCTTGTCATGGTCCCTGAGATACCTCCTCCAACCTTGAGCTCCAAAGAAGCCTTTGGACAAGTCTCTAGAGAAAACGGATAACCAAGGCAAGGAAGAGATGGGAATTGTTGTCCTGGATAAGGGTCTAAGAGGAACTGGGGGCTGGGGGTGGGGAGGGACGGTGGGTGGAATCCGAGCCTGACCAGTAGCAGAATGATGGGGGATGTGGAGAGGGACGGACTGGTGAGGAGAAGACAGGTGCTACATGATGGAGCAAGGAGGAGACACAGCACAGGGGAAGGCTCAGCCTTAGAAAAGAGTCTACACTCACAGTCCCCATAGATAAGAGAAGAAAAACCCAGAAGAAATGTTAGCATAGGGCCGGCCCAGTGGCGCACTGGATAGTGCACCGCTTAGGAGGCGCGGCAGCGCTGCCGCCCGAGGGTTCGGATCCCACATACAGACCGGCTCCCGCTCACTGGCTGAGCGAGGCGTGGGAGCAACACCGAGGTTTGCAATCCCGTTGCCGGTCCCTGGTCCGGTACGGGGGCAACACTGAGGGTTGCGATCCGTTGCCGGACACGGAACAAAAAGACAAAAGACAAAAAAAAAAAAAAAAAAAAAAAAAAAAAATTTTAAAAAAGGGGGGGATTTTTTAAAACTGGGCCCCCCCCAAAATTAAAAAAAACAATTTCCC